CCAGCATCTAGTCCATTCAGAACAGCATCTCCTCATTCATTTTGTTGAGTGAGTCTAAGCACCTACTGTGTGGCAGGCACACTGCTATGTTTCTGTGCTTCCCAGTCCTACTTGAAGAGGCTGTAAGTGGGTCAGCAGCTGACCTCCACTGACCTTGTGCCATCCATCCCAACACAGTCCCTATTCCTTCCCTTCTGCTAAAAATGGCTTTTAACTTCGTGTCCCTCTTGCCAGTGTTTTGTTATTTTGTATGTATATATATTTATACATATATATATTACATACACACGCCATTAGACAGTCTGTCAGTGCAACTTGAGATGACTGAGTCCAGTCCCAATGTGTGCACACATCACCATTTTCACAGTTTTTCCACCACCCCCAACCCTGTGCCCTCTCCCCGTGACCCCTGCAAACTGCATCTGTTTTCTGTTTCTCTTGAGTCAGTGCATATTTCATATAAATGTGGTTCTGCATCGTCTGACCTTTGTGTCTGGCTTAATCTGCTCACGCTGCAGCCTCTCTTCACGTTAGCTGCACTGGGAGGCCGCCCTGCTCCTGCTCATGGCTGGACGGCACCCTCTGTGTGCTTTTCTGCTTTTTCCTGGACGGACTCCTGGCTTCCTTCTGGTTCTTGAATACCATGAAGAAAGCTGTGCTGGTGCACAAATGCCTGCTTGGATCCTTTCCACCTCCTCTAGGTATGTACACACCTTGCTGTCTGTCACAGCTCCTTGATGCGCTGCTGTTAGAGTGGCGTCTGTTTGTTTCCCATGGCAACTAGAGCACTTCATAGTCCCGTGTACAACGTACAAGAGTCCGAGCTTTCCTCTGCTTTCTCCTTCTTCTCGGCACGTGTGATCCACGTGTGTACAGATGTGGAGGCGAGAATTGGTCTTTCTCGGTGACTCCTTATTTCCTGAGACAGGGGCTCTCACCAAACCTGGAGCTTGCTGAAATGGCTAGGCTGGCTGTGGCTTTCTTCCAGGCCTGCCACGGCCTGCCGGGGTACAGTGCACGGACCGCCAGCTCCTACCATTCTCATGATGAAGATGGCTCTAACATCACACACCTGTGCTGTAATCCCACCTCCCTCTTTTCAGTGTTTGCTCTGTTAACCTGGATTAACTAGTTCACTCACTTCCTAGTGCCCTTAGTAACTGTTGGTTGCTAAAAGCGACACAAACTTATCATCATCAAGTCCTACAGGGCAGGATGCTCAGGCAGGTCTGTGGGGGTCAGCAGAGCTGGTGTCCTCTGGAGGCCTCTGGGGAGAACTGTCTTTTTTTAGCTGCTTGTGGCCACTTGCACTCCTTGACTTGTGGCCCTATTTCTACCTTCAAAGCCAATCAAGGCAAATGAACGTCACAGCCCTCATCCTCCTTCCCTCTTCCACCTTGAAAGGACTCTGATTATAAAGGTCATCACCTCCAATTTGAAGGTGAGCTCATCAGCAACCTCAAAGCCTTCCTGTGACGCAGCTGTCTGTGCTCACAGGTGTGGAGGTAGAGGTGGACACCTTCGTTGGCGAGACATTATTCTGTCCACCACAGAGGTCTTCCTTAGAAAAATCAGCCCGAGGGTTACTCATTGGGGACGAAACCTGGGGTCCCAAACATGCTATAGGCAAGTGCTCTAGCCCTGATTATTTGTATTTCTGCCTCCTTCCATTCCTTGAGTCTAGTCCTGATGACTACAATGCATTCAATACACTCCTGTGTTCCACAAGTACTGAGGGTTGTTATTTTTTCCCAGTGTGGAGCATCAAACTCTGGGCCTTGTACATGCTAGGCAGAAGTATACCAGTAAGCCCAGGGACTCCGTACATAGCTTAAGCTGGCCTCAAACTTGTGACTCTCTTGCCCTCCCTCCCAAATGCTCCGATTACAGGCATGCCTCACCACGCTTGGCTAGCTTACTGAGGGCATCGGTTTTTGAGACACGGTCTTACTATGTCACCCTGGCTGGCCTGGAACTCAAAGAGATCCATCTGCCTCTGCCTCCTGGGTGCTGGGATTAAAGATGTGTACCACCATGCCAGGCTACCTGCTGAGTTTTGAGTTAATTAAAAAACAAAACATATTCTGAGAGCCTGGCACTCAGAAAGCACTCATCTTCCACCTTGTGACAGACGCAACTTTATCAACTCTTTGGCAACATAATTCTTGCCACAAGAGTCCACTTCTTAGTCTCGGCACCCCTTTCTCTTCCTGCTGCAAACCCACACTGAGTCCCTCTCCCCAGGGCTGGAGCACCGACCTGTCTCCTGTGTGACCTCAAGCAGCAGGTCGCCTCACAGTTCATGTGCCTGCCAGGGAAGACTGCCCACAGGGTCACGTGAGGCTCACGGCTTGCTCCTCTCTCAGGGGCTGGCCTGTCATTCTGTCAGGGGTCGGTCCTTCTTAGCTTGCCCAGTTGGAGGAGGGTGCTCAGTTGTTTTCCTCTGTACTTCTTCCTCGCACAAAAACCTCTCACAGAATTTACCAGAATTCAAATGTGAACCCACAGCAGCAACCTCATGCTTCCGGCTACCTCCCAGGCCAGCTGTTGCAGAGGGATGCTGTTCCCCAGTACAGAACGAGCCACCTCAATCCCAGAGACTTATTTCTCAGCAGGCACTTTAGTACAGCCAACTCTGAGGCCAGCTCAGGTTTCATATTGGTTTGGCTTTTCGTGTTTGCTTTGTTTTCCAATGCTACAATAGTGTCTCCATTGTATGTAGTTCTCAGCTTTGGGCTACTTCTTTCGTTTCTGTCTCAAAATTATGTTTCAAACTCACTGCTGGCTTGTGCTGATATTCCCTGCTTGTTTTGTGAGATGCCAACTGTCTTCAATAACAAGGCCTCTATGTCACTGCCAGACTATGGTTAAGGGAGCCTCTTCTAGAAGAAGAGCAAGGGCCTCAGGTGGGCACTGTAGACTGAGAAAGTAGACTGTGCACTTATAGGAAATCACCAGAAGGTCTGGGAGTTGTGCACAGCGGCCAAGCAGGTACGGGTCATACCAGAGCAGCGATCACTATTGCTGAGGAGGTAGCCTGCTGGGGGCCTGAGCCACTCACCCTTCTACTGAGGCAGGGGCACCAGATCGCTCCCTGAAAGCACTCGACTGGAGGTTCCTCAGCCCAGTAGGGCCGGGCCTGCATACATGTCTGGGCACCTCCACGGGGAGACTCCCACAGCCAGGCAAAGCTGCCGCTCTGCTTTCTAAAGGGCCAGTGCGTGTCCTCCCATTCCTCAACCCCCAAGGAAACTTCCCTCTCTGACCTCAGCCATCCTGTTTTCTTCCTAGCTTCCTTTCTAGTTTGGTTTCACAGAAGGACTCTCTGCCTACCCTTATTGCTAAGTCCCAGGAAGGAAGGGGACCCTCTGGCCCTATCACGTGCTCACCGTGGCAGGGAGAGCCCGACAGCCTGTGGTTCTTACAGCTCTGGATCCCCCCTTTACCACCCGCCCCAGATCCTCAGTGGGGCTGAGTCCCCCAATACCAGCTCATTGCTCACTATCAGAACCTCTGATCCCACAGCCCCTCAGGACTCTAACTGTTACTGCAGTTCCTAGGTAGGGCGTGGAGGGAGGCAGCTCTACACTGTGACTTGAAATCTCACTCTACGGATCCTCTGCGATATCCTCTCTCTCACTAACCATGCCGAGGAATCTCAGATGCTGTGCCTGGATGTCAGGATTGAAAGTGGAATCCTTTCACTCGGACTCCTCTCTTAGCCTTTATCATTGATTTTATTCAGGAATTACAGCCTTTCTCTGCTTATGTTAGGGTTATAGAAATTGCAGGATGGAAAAAAAAAACACAAAGATTTAAATAAAGTTTAAAAATGGCACTAAAAAAATAGCCTCAAAAGAAAATAAAAATGGTGACTGAATGAATGTGGCACAATAGTTTGAGGCAACAGCGAGCATCAGAGTAAAAACAAAAATTCGGGTGGAGTCTTGCAATTAGTGAGCACTGCCTGGAGAGCCGTAAGGGAAAGATCCACACTAAAGTCTGCAAAAAGGATTTGATACCTCAGCTGTGCTGTTCTGAAACCATCACAATTGTTATAAAATTATTCTTCTTGTCCTGATAAGGCTCAAAATAGAAAAAAAAAAAAAAAAAAAGGTGTAAGCCTCAAGAAAGTAGGCCTTTAAAACCCTACTCCTTGATGCTACTCCATAAAATGTAAACTGTCTTTCCCACCCTTAGTCACAGGAATTCTGGGTTCTAACAAGCCTCACTGACAGACTTCTCAGCAATTTCATTTGGTAAGAATTAAGAGTGCTAGTGAGACCACGTGGTTTAGAAATCACATCAGTGACATGCGCTTGGCACCAGGCCCTCTGCTCTGGGATGGCATGACAGCTAAGAGGAGCCATCCCTAAGGGCCAGGGGGCATCAGTGGACACAGAGGTCTCCAATGAACGGACTTCAGCCATTGGATCATACGCTGACAAGAGTTCCAGCCTATCTATCCTCTGGAGAGTTTTAATATCAAGGTTGTATACATTTCAACCATAATTGTTATTTAATGAATGGATGGAAAAAGCTTTCTGGTGGGTGTCAGCAGGACCAGAAGCAGCCAGAGTCCAGACTCTACCCTCCTAAAGGGTGGCATACACCACAGCCAAAGCCAAGTTCAGGCACAGATCTGGCAGCCTTTACTGACCAGCCCAGAGCTGGTCAACAGTGAAAATCCGACAAAACAGAAAAACAAAGTGAAAGCAATTGTTTCTCTACTCAGAGTTTTCTTTAAAATGTACTTGTGCCTTATCAAAAACCCAGTTAGCTGCTGGTCCGAGGCTCTCATGAGGCCTTGAGACACAGATTCTCCAGATTCCTTTGGGTGATTCCAGAGGAGCTGGAGATGCCTGCGAATGTGGTATCTGCTTTGAAAGTGTAGCTTTAGCCCTGATCAGCTCCAGTCATTAATCACACGGTCGTCCCGTCCAGCCTACCGAGCCTCCCCTACCCCCCAGCAGCCCAGCAGCCCTGTGCCAATGTGGTACCTGCCATTCCTGGTATCATGTTGCCTCATGTTCTTAATAAAATGAATTTTCTTAAAGTTCTTTGGTCTGGGAGAACCTGAGAGTGTTCGACATCTGAAAAAAAGAAAAACAAACAAACGAAAGTCATTTAAAAACACTACCAGTTGCTTACTGGATAACTGAGCCATCTCCACACAAAGGCAGGAAGGAAAGACCAGACAAATGGCTTGAGTCACCCTGTGGCAGGCAGGAGTTGGGGGTGGGTGGCTAGTGCAGACAATACAGCCGGGAGCAAGGAAACTTTAGGAACCCAGTGACAGAAAATTTCCTTCATAATACTGATAACATTTTATATGAGTCTCTGAAAAGCTAGCTAATGAAAATTACTGTCTCCAGTTACAATAATGTAACCAAACAGATCCGAAGGACTTCAGTCTTTGTCGGCATCCTAAAAGAAAGATCCTAAATCCACACAGGTAAGGGGAACCAAACGTTGTAAATTTAAGATTTGGGGCTGGAGGGATAACATGCAAAATTCTTTTTTTTTTTTTTTTTCAAAATTCATTTTAAAAACAACCCTGAATCATTTTTCTTCTGTAGCAGGAATTTGGCCTGAAACCTTGGACAGCTGCCCCAACTCCTGACTCCATTTGGGAAGTCACAACTTACATTTGAATGAGAATCAGGACCCAGCTAGTTGCTGTTTCATTTTATTGCTTCAGAATAAATTTTAATAAGTAAACATCTATTGAACCAAAGTGTCCTATATTTAAAAAAATTTTTTTTTTTCCCAAGAGCAGGCAGCATCACTTCCTGTGCTTCCAACAGACCACAAGATAAAGGAAGCTTACTTGTGGACAATGACTGTTGAAATAACCTGGTAAATTCTAACTTACGAAACCACACAGACACCACTACTGAAGCCAAAAATCCCACCAAAACTCCAAGCAGCTGGAGTTTTGTCTGTTCATGACAAAGGGAATCATGACACTCCTATTTAAGTCCTTCCAGACTATGGCTCCTGCCATAGGATGTGGATGCCCGTACCTCAGACTTCCAAAACAAGCTGTGGAAAAGCAGTGTGCAGGTTCCCAAAGCCACGCTGAGCCCCGGGGGAGGGCATCATCTGAAAACAACCAGGTAAGGCTTCAAAGGGAGGAAAGGGTGTGGCACCCGTGGGAACTGGACAAAGTGTTCCAGAGCTACAAAGCAGCCCCGGCCTTTACTCTCCCTCAGGGCAATTTCCAGGTGGGGGCAGGCCTATCCCCATCTATGAAAGCCCTTTCTTAGAATACAGATCAATATATTAAAACACACACACACACACACACACACATTCTAAAAGCATAACCTAACTTGAACAAATCCCACTGAAGCAAAGGATGCAGTCAGATATGTATTTCAGCGGGTTTTACTAGGAAAAGTCCTCGCGTGGGCTGTGTGTCCAGAGCAGGAAAGCCCCACTTCTCATCACCGTCCATCCCAGTAGGGCCAGAGCATCGGCAGAGGCCTCGCTCCTCCCAACCGTCTATTCTGAAGTTACTATAACTCTGACCCACAGCCTCTGGGGTTATAGGCCACTCAAGGCTCCCAACCAGCTCCATCAGCAACGCTCTTAATCCTCACCGCCATTAACTGGGTAAGAACTGAGTGACTATATGCAAATGTGTGTGTTCCTTGAACTGGCAAGTGAGCCACTGCAATGAATCTTCTTACACACACCCATGCGCTCAGTCACAGGCAAATTTCAGGTGTTATTATTAATAAGCAGTGAGCTGAGTGGGGGGGAAAGCACCTCCATATTTCAAAACAGCAGCCTTTATTAAAGGCTCCGAATTCATAGCTTTAAATGGAGGTGTTGTTTGTTTGTTTGTTTTGTTTTTTACGAAGCCCTGCAAAGCGCTGCCTGAAGAAATGGCAGAACCGGAGAGGGTGACTATCAGCTCCATCCCCACTCTGTAGACTTCAGATTTCTTAGTTCTGGGGCTTAAGAGGGCACACAGAGCCTCCATCTGCCTTCTTGAGACTGCTTTCTGGAAACAGACCCAGAACCCCCAACTGCCCCCATGCTGCCTCCAGAATGACTGCTTAGGTCTACATGCCCCTCATGGGTCCCCCTGTCTAATACAGGGAAGGTTCTGGGAACGTGGGGTTGCTGGTTAGAATAGAACCTTTGAAGCATGAACATAAAAGAAGCCCCAGAAGTTCTGGGCAGGCCATAGGTTTAAGCATGTCCTTGTCCTCGCTCTGTCCCACCCCCAAACCAGAGCTTTCTGTGCCAGCCAGTCTGAGAGGAAGCCGGCCAAGAGCTAGATGGGGAGCAGGTGGTGAGCTCAGCAGGACAAGCCCTGCACCCTTCTCCCACCTCAGGGATACAGGACAAAGCCCTGCCTCTGCTGCCTGCACAGAGGGATCATTCCTTGGGCTGCCATGCAGACCGGAAGTCAGCAAAAGGGCCACAGGTGGCTGTGAGTGCCAGCTGGGGAAGGGGGCAATGGCAATACTTATTTCACCAGCGGTAGCTCTAATACCCACCAACAAGTCAGCCTAAGAGAAAGCAGGACGGGTGCTGACGGCTGCCAGAGCCGCAGCAGGCCAACTGAGGCTGCACCAGGGACCTAGAAAAGGTGTCCTCATGTGCTGCTAGTGGCCACCGGGCAGGTGGCGAGCTCCTCAAAGTCCTCTCATTGCTGGGGCCCTGGGTGTGCCCAGGAAACGCTGATAAGACGTGCAAGAGAAAGGCATTAGCTGGGGCTGGAGAGATGGCTCAGAGGTTAAGAGCACTGCCTGCTCTTCTGGAGGTCCTGTGTTCTACTCCCAGCAATCACATGGAGGCTTACAACCATCTATACTGGTATCTGATCTCCCTGTCATGCAGTTGTACATGTGATAGAGCACTCATATATGTAAAGTAAAAAACAAACAAACAAACAAAAAAACAACAACTGTGAGAAAGGCTGTAGCAAATAACTAAAAGGCAGCTTTGGAGCCCAGCACCTGAGTTGCAAATACGCCCCACCAACCTAAGCTCTACTCAGCAAGGCATTTGCTCTGTTGCTTTTCAGAAAGCGTTCAACCAAAGCACCAGGGAATGGAAGACATGCTTTTAGAGCCCTATTGGCAACGATTGCCAAGGAACCTGGAATACTGGGCCTCAGGTGACAGCAGGTTAGGCAAAGGCCTAATTCTCGAAGCCGCCTGAATTAACATGTGAACACCCATTCAAAAGCATACACTTTGTGTGATGCAAAATTAAATTAGGATAGAATTAAATTAAAAACTAATTCAGTGAGAGGTTAGCTCTTCCCTGTTAGCACTGATGAGAGGGTTCACTTAATTGTGCTGAGGTTTTAATAGACATCTTGGAGGCCCAGAGCCTTCCAACCCCGCAGTTCCCAGAACACTTTAGCGCCACTACTGGGACTTTTCCGGTCAGAAGTTGCAAAAAAATCTTCAGAGATCAGTCTATCTGGGCCTCCCATTTTACAGGTCGGAAAGCTGAGGCTTACCTGAAGCCAAGTGAGCTCCTACATCACTTTGTTTCCTGAGAACAAGCCACTTCTAAGTAAATAGGGACACCTTCTCGTTATTACCTTATTTGCTTGTATGTGTGTATGTGTATGCATAGATGGATGGATGGATGGGCGGATGGGCGGATGGGCGGATGGGTGGATGTTTGCATGTCCGTATGCATGTACTGACTGATGGGGCATACAGCCACACAGCAGCTGTGCAGAGATCAAGGACAACCTCTGGGTTGTCCTCTTCTACTATTACATGGGTCCCAGGGACCAAACTCAGACCATGAGGACTGGAGCAAGCACCTTTACCCACTGAGTTCCTCACGGGAGCTGAGTTTGTCTGTCTGTTTTTGTTTTGCTTTTTAAGTTCCTTTGAAGGAACGAAGACTTCTAAAAACGCCTTAACTTAGGGATACTTTCAGATGTTTGCGTTTATGCAAGTTTCCTTCCAAATTCAAGACAATATTCTGTAAGTACGATTTGGGAGAAGTCAGTTAAGGCAGAATAAGCTGTTTTCACTTGTCGCCCTGTGTAAATTCTACGAAAACAGGGCACCTAAGTCTCCCTTAGCCCTCTAGACTGCTGGAGACACATAGCCCTGTCCTGAACGCCAATGGGGGCAATTCCATCTCCACACTGATTGGCCGTGGTTCTTCTGCCAATAGCTGCCACTCAGCTGTGAGTGCTGGTTTCTGGAAGCACCGGGCACTTGCTCCTCACCTCTCCTCACTGCTCTCCCTGTCTGCAGGCGGGGAAGTGGGGTGGCGGGGTACCTGGCAGAGATGACCTGACTGCTCTAAGGCCAAATCCCCCTGTTGCCAACTGAGAGCACTGTTCTCCCTCCTCCATGCTCAATTAACTTGGATCAAAGCCAGCTCCCTGCCTTGTGTTTTAACGGAACTGAAGCGTGTCACCCAGAGGGAAATGGCTTCCCCCGTCTGTAAGATGGCCTCACAGAACACGTCCGTTGGGCTTTTCTCTGTGTATTTCCAGAGACTTCAAAAGGAGAGATGAGCCTGTCCAACCCTGGCCTTCCGAATGATGTCAGTGATCAGATGCACTATCCCCTGCTATCTGGGCTGTCTCCAGCCTCTGCTTCTCAGACTGGCAAGGAGCCCTCTCAGGACAGCACCCTGCCCTCCACAGTGGCACTTCCCAGGTGCAGGGGGGAAGCTATGCCCTGGAACGCAGCCAAGGATGAACACAGACACAGGTTCAGGAAGGGCCGATGCCAGGGCAGGGGCACTCCCAACCTCCCACAGCCTTGTCTGCCATCTGCCTCATAGTCCTTGGGAAGCCCAAACATCTGTCTCTTCTGGCCTTGGCTCCCTCAAAGGACTGACCCACACACCTCTCTCTTGCCAGCTTGGAGTTGCAGGCAGAAGACCCAACATGCGAGTGTTCTCTCCCGTACAAGGGAGGCCTGGCCAGGCCTCTGCACAGATACGGGCCAACAGAGAGGGCAGGACTGGGGGAGCGAGGCCTGCCAGTCACAGGCAATTGCTGTCATCCCAAAAATGTGCCTCACCAGCACTTTTCTAATCCAGCAGGGAAAATGGAAAGGAATGCTTCCAAACCAAGGGAGCCCTTGAAACTGTCTTCACCAGGTTCCCCCAGCAACTAGCTAGGGGGTGACGTCATGGTCACCTCCTGAGGAGATTTGGTGGCCTCTCCTGCTGAGAGTAAGGCTTAAGCTCTTAAGTGCTGTGTTACAGCAGGGTTAATAGGGGCCCTGCTTCCTTAAAAGCCATTTTCAAGACCCGAAGGGCAGCTGGGGTTGAGACACGGCAGATTATTATCATGGTGAGGCCTTTCCTGGCACCAACCACAGAGGTAGCCCCAAGAAAAAGAGTCACCAAAGCTGTAGGCACACTGGCCAGCTCCAGTCCATTAGTGGGGCGTCCAAGTTTTCACATGTCTTTAGGGTTGGGCGTGTTCTACCCTGAGAATTCTTTGTTTTAGGGAGTTATATTCTTCTAAAATTTAATTCAGAAGATCAAGAACTGAGAGAGTGGCCGCATGCCACCAGCTATTCTAACATATGCACACATGAAGCATGGGAAACTTACCTCCGGAGCGGGGCATTCTCCTCAATGTCTTCCAGGGTCTCCAAAGAGGATCTCTGGGAGATGAGGCGCCGTCTACAGAGACCAAAAACCAGAAGTGAGTACTGCACAGTAAAGCTGATCAAACGACTGTGCGAATTTGTGACTGTCAGAAAACAAACAACAAACAGTATGATCCCTGACAGTACAGTCTAACCACTTGTCCTTATTATACACGGAGATAGGTGTGGTTCTCACCGCTCACCAAGAAAACTTCTCTTTTCAGCAGACAGAGATCACTACAGAAAGTCCCGGCCAATCAAAAGGGACACAGAAACCAACCCTACACCTAAGGCTCAGGGAACGCTGCAAGAGACAGGGTAGAAAGACTGTGAGAGCCAGAGGATCAGGGAGTCTGCTGTGAGACTGTCTCCTAAGACTGTCAGAGGCTACAGCTGAAAAGTCTCACCAACGTGACGGCCACAACACGAGCTGAACAAGGACAACAACAGTGGGGGCGGGGGAGGCCTCAACCCTACCTACACAAACAACTAGAGGCAGCTAAAGAAGGCCGGAGAGTGGGAGAAAAAGTCTTCCCGGAGAGGAGCACACGGACTGGTTACCCAATACCAGCCCTGAAAGCATGAGGACAGGACGTAACACTGCATAGACCGAGCAGGCCCTGTTTATGTTATGTATTTAGGAATCCGTACGCACACGTATATACGCACACACACATACATGCGTGAAACAACAATTACTTTAAAAAGAGGCCATCTGTTAGAAACAGAGCAGGGAGGGCTATCTGGGAGGATCTGGAGAAAGCGATAGGATGGGGGATGTAACGCCACTGTTTTAGGATCTCAAACAATGAAAGAAATTTAAAGAAGAAGAAAGGGTGAGATGGCTCAGTGGGTCCTAAGTCCCACTCCTGACCTGACGGGAGAATGGTCTCCCCAGACTTGTCCTCTGACTGCCACATGTCCTGGGTGGCACTTGTGCAGCTGCCCTACCCCCCCCCCCCCTAACAACAACCAATAAAGCAACAATACCTTTAGACAAAAGCTGTCTTTAAAGGGGCTGTTGTGCTCCTGCACCACAGGGGATGCCGGGCTGCCTTGCTTGCCTGCATCTTGGTCCTGCCCCCTGGGGACAGGCCCTCTGGGTGCAATTACAGAAGTGGGTGGCCTGTTCCAAGCTTCAGTCGCCTCTCCAGGACAAAACCGACACGATGGCCCTTACAATGCCCGGGGCCACCAGGGTACTGTGAGATTTCCGGAGCGTTAGTAACACGGTTAAGGATTCAGACAGTCATCATTTGAATTCAGGAAGTGATGGATATTCAGTTTTGAAAGCGTATTTTATCACCTGTGTACCGTGTCTGTCCACATGTGCACGTGGGTGCATGCACGTGGAGGCCAAAGGCCAACCTCGGGTGCCGTTCCTCAGACCACCCCACTTTTTTCAGTCAGACAAAGGTGTCTTACTAGGACTGGGGCTCATGGATTCCGCTGCTGGCCAGTGGGCTCCGGGGAGCCTCCTGTCTCCACCTCATCAGCACAGGATCACGGGAACATGCCAGCCTGCCCAGCTTTCAACATAAACGTGGGCACTGGTTTTGAACTTGGGTCCTCACACTTGCATGGCAAGTGCGTCACCACCTGTACTCTCTCGTCCTGCCCTCAAACTGTATTGTTAAGAACCTTAAAATCATTAGGATGTTGTTAAAAAAAAAAAAAAAAGTTACAGTCTCAGGAAGATTATGGCACCTCCAGAGAACTGGAAACAAAGGACCCGCTGTGTATAACCTCAGAGGCCAGTGAAAATGGATATTCAGCAAGATCACACAGAGCAATAACTTTTCTGAGTAGCTGAAGAACTGCCTAGCCCCTGGCCAAATCCATCAACCTAGTGTCTTCTGCCAGGCTGAAGTAAGAACCAGTCCTACTTAACTCAGAATATCTGGTAATAGCTACAGCAGGAAAAGAGTTGGTGGTGATTCTAAATAAATACATCTAAATGGAACCACTTCACGGCCAGTGATTTGAGGGAGGAGGATGGAAGGGAAGTTTTGATACCTTATTCACCCCCCCCCAAAAAAAAGTGGGACTAAATTTTTTTTTTCATAATGTTTGATGACATTAACATTAAAAACATGCCAAACCCGGCTGGGTGTGGTGGTGCACACCTTTAATCCCAGCACTCAGAGATGCAGAGGCAGGCAGATCTCTGTGAGTTTGAGGCCAACCTGGTCTACAAAGGGAGTCCAGGACAACCAGAGCTACACAGAGAAACCTTTTCTCAAAAAACCAAAAGAGAGAGAGAGAGAGAGAGAGAGAGAGAGAGAGAGAGAGAGAGAGA